TAGTCACTAAACAAGGTCACATCAGATACTGATGCTACAGCGATGCAGATATTGATATATAAGATTGCACACTTCCCTTGTGCTAGTGCAACATCTTTGATTGCTCGCACAGCCTCCTTGCCGTTAATCAATCACTTCTGCTTTAGTTCCTCCATCTCCATGGCACACGCCCTCAATGTAACGGTGAACCAAGAATGGCTACACTCGGTAATTTTACCAGGTCTCGTATTTTTAGTGTTTAGAACACACTTGTATCACATCTCGCGTATTTGTATTACCTTTTGCAGTAAATCCTTGCTATTTGATTGCTCGTGTAGCAGACGAAATTGAGATTTTAGATCAACCATACAAACTTGCGTTCCTTTGCTATTTTTGACGTCATACGAAGGCTAGTGAATCTTTTCCATATACAGTAGAATTCCTCAGAAGTATGTCTTTTTTGCCCAGGATGCTTTTCTCTCAATTTCATTTTTAAGATTTGCACTTAAAATCGGGGATGCTTCTTAAGCTTGCATCATCTATATCATAAAATTCTTGGCGCGTATCGCGACTTTAACAACATGCTTTTCTGACAGACTAGGTCGCATCTCTGATCTAATGCTACACTGATGAGACCTATTTTTTGTCTGTCATACATTTTTTTGCTAAATTTTTACAGAACAGAAGGTGCCTTCCTTGCCTGCGTGGACATCCCAGGACATGTGTACAATCTCAAATGACCACTACATGCCTTTGCTTGCCTCTTGTACAGCACAGTAAAATAACATTTACACCAGAAAATTCCTGATCGATTGCATTTCTGCTCAAAGTACCACTTCTACAATGATTCTGATTCAGCTGAGCGCTCGCATAAAAGGGATTGAGAGCAAGCGTATCATTACGTATCTTGGGCACAAAGATGAAGCATTTCCATCACATAGCACACAAATATGCAATGTGCAACAATTATAAACAACTGCGTATAGCCTAATTGTGCAATTTGATGTACGCTGTCGCTTTTGTGCCTCAGAAAACAAACAAAAGTTAGATAATACTTACCAAAAATCTGGATAGACATACCTTCTAAGCCAATAAAAGGCTTTCGTAGTTATAAGCAAAGTACAAACGAATGCTAAATGCTGATCTGGTGAGAAAATTGGACAGCATCCATTTCGTGTCCAAACAATAACATTAAACGTTGGCTAGGCAGCGTCGGATATGCGGTATGCCTGCACTGTGAAAATGTGACTGTGCTGTTCTTGAAAGCGACCATTTAACTGCAAGTCGGCTAATTTGCTCCTTGCCCAAATGGTCGATATCCGTTTGTATATGTACAGTATTCTGATGATGGGCGCCGCAAATAGATGATTCGTGGATATTTGACCGGATAACTTACCAGCTTCATGGCGTAAGTATGTCGACATGCAGGCTCGTAAAATTCTTAAACTTCGAAGCTTCATGGCGTAAGTATGTCGACATGCGGGCTCGTAACATTCTTAAACTTTGAAGCTTCATTTCTGAATTTGACGTCTTCGCCATAGAACACTGTTCATATCTCAAACATGCGGCTGTCGGGGTTGGCTTCTGCCGTCACTCTTACCATCTTCGTGAAAAAGTCCAATGCGGTCTCTACCGTCGTCGACACTGATAAACCTTCGTTTACATCACCGACGACCGAAAACATCGAGGTTTCAGCAAGTGTGCGTGCTGTCGACCATGAAGTGGCTTTCAGTCGTTCTTTGCGCGGTGAAGCCCATAGTACTTTCTCCACATCGTCCATCGACCCAATCGCGCCCGACATTGCTGTTCACTCATTACATCCGTCAGATCACGAAGACCCTGGCAGGCATTTAACTGGCGGCGTTGAAGCAGCCCTTGATCATGATCAAACCCATGCTTTTGTCAAAGACGAGCATAAGACTCCGGTTGCAGACAAAAATAGGCATCCGGCAGCTGAAATAGATGCCGAGCAGTTGAAGACGAGATTTGCTAAGTTCATTGCTAAGCTAAAACGTCCTAAAGGTGAGCAATCGGAGTTGATGGGAGCCCTTGATTCTGCTTTGCATACTGGTATGCTTAAAAAGCTAGAAATGAAGGGTGAGATCACGGAAGAGCTCCTCAATTCTTTGCTCAAATTTGTTGAGAATA